CGCAAAAGAATCAATTTATAGAATGTGGAATCTCAATGACAAGTACATGTGAACAATAGTACCTATCTGTATTGTTTGTCATTGTAACAAAAAGTAAGAATAAATTTCAAATAATTGCTGGGCGACACTGTGATATAGTAATCTCTTGAAAAAAGTTTTGTAGATAATTGTGATTGGTTCAACCCGTAGTTGAAGAAAATTGTGTCTTGAAACATTTGTAAATTAATATAATGTTTTGCTTGATATCCATGATCAGACAGAATAATTTTCAAAAATTTCAAATTTCAAAATATTGAATAATTTGATAAACTTCAAAGTGTGATATTAATACATGTTAATAATAAAAAAATAAATGATAATATGCACTAATAAAATAATTGAAATTCCAGTAACGTTTCATATCGTTATATCGTTTCAGACGATTATATTCAAAGTAGATACCAACATAGCTTGAGAATTCATCACAGATTATGATCGTTTGTTCCTAATTACACCGTTAATGTATCTACAGATCAGCATGATTATCCCTTTTATAGATCTAAAACACAATATATCTATTTCGAAGAGCTGGTTTATCAATTATCCTGATTTGAGATTGTGCCAGAGTGAAAGAGTATTAACATAACAAATAACCATACATATATTACAATGTTTACCTTTACATCTTTTCAAGAAACCCGAAAACGTTGCCAAATTATTTGTTTGTGAGCTTATAATGTTTTATAACATTTTCAGTAATTATTTTCCGTCATCGATATGAGAGTTATTATTACATGAAAAGGAAAAGAAAAGATGATCTGACAAAGGACTGAAAGGAGAGCTGACTTATCTCTCTCATTTCATAAGCTCTATCTCCGCATGAGCGAGCCTTTGATGCCAGTTTATTGTAAGATATTCCTTGGGCCTATGTAGCACCCAAAGCTAGTCCGGGTTATCAACACGTCCAATCCATCATTGCGGTATGCCTGTCATCGTGGGTTTCTCTCTTGCTTTATATCGCTTTCTTTATCTCCTCATCTCACGAAATGCGACCTGCAGATAGCATGCAATAATTTCCTATATAAAACGACATAAAGAGGCAATAGGCAAAACGAAGCTTTCCTTTACGAACCTTGAGCAATTTGAAACTTTGAGGAAACTTCTTAAGTACTCAGCACGCCATCATTATACATACTTACCGAGATCTTAGATAAAGATTAAGAGCTATCGAAAAAACAGTACATTTGAAGGTATTAAGAGAACCGCACGTGCACTATGGTTAGAGACCAAAAGCAAACCATAGTAACTGCTCCTTAGGTGACCTGATCGGCAAAATATCAAAACGTTTACACTTTGTTTGTCTCAACGTTCATGCAGCTGCAACATAAAGATCAAACGTTTTCTCAAAATTTTCTTCAAATTTCAAAGGTTTTACGTTTAAATACTGATTATGAACATCACAGGATTCCATCTAACGCATCACAAAGTCTATCTACGCTATCAGCCAATGAATGGACCTCCCGTCAGACACCTGGTATGCTGATCACGTGATATCTAACAATCCTCAATCTGTCCTTTTACATGTTTTACTATGATATTATAGTAAATTTTGAAATAGTTTAGTAGCCATTTTTACTACAAAAGAGCACGTCACCTCGGGCACAATGTACTCAGTGTGAATTATTCTGGTAATAATGCTAGATTTATCATCACAAACACTTTCAAATTCCCTGCATAATAGATTATTAGATAGATAACGTTAGGAATATTCTTTGATAATGAACACTCCAAAGTGGAGAGGAATTATTCCCTAACCACTGGAATTAAAATCGTTTTATTAAAGTTCACATACCATTATGTTAAAAAATTAAAAAGTTTTATATCTTTGTTGTTTACTGACCGATAAATACAACAAACTTATTCATGTCCTGGTTTTTACGCTGACATACGTGTCTTATCTCTATTCAATCTAGTTACGTACATTCCATTGTTTTTTACTTACAGGCAAAAAATAAAGACTTAAACAAGAAGACAAATATCCATGTCGAACCCGATCACTGATAGAATGTAACACAATTTTCATACGTTTATCAATAATTCACTGGAATGATATATAATTCTGACAAGGAAATCTGTCAGAAATCTGTTAGTTATACTTCGAAATACTGAAAACAAGACGAATAGTTTTAAAATTCCGTGATAATGATAGTGTCAGTGTCGTTCCAACATGCTTTTCAATCTGTTGTGTTGTTTGAAACCTGGGGCACTCGGTGTTTTATGTTTCATTCAGCTATAGCTGGTATATCTATCAGTTCCAAATAGGCAGGCAGAAACATGCTCCGAAATAAATGTTTCGAATAATGACAAGGAAATTTTCATGACGAAATTCTAAAATACGTTTGAAGTTTGACGTTAAAACACGCAATTACATAACATTCCTTCTGCGAAAAATGTTTCTGAAATACTATTAATCATAGCATGTTGCTAAATCATTTTGTTAGAATAACTTATTTTCCACAATAATCACATTTGTTAAATGTTAAAACTATAATACTGCTATTCCATGTTTCGTTCTATGAAAATATATAGTTGATACGGCAAAAAAATCAGCGGGTTTCATAAAATACGAAAGGATTTGAAAACGACAATGAAAAGAAGACACTATTTCCTTCGGAGGTAAATTGGTACATATTATTATTTTGTTCTGCAATGGTATTATGAGAAATTAAATGAAGTGCATAATGACTTATTTAAACAGAATGTCCGTTCACTAGCTTCCATCGAAAGCGAATATATGACAGAAGTTGAACAGACGACAGCTGCTCAAGAAAATAAAAAGTAGTGTAATATACGATACACGATATGTTGATGACGAATTCGCTCTCTAATAAAAGGAAAAACATATTTTGATACCATATGTTAAAATACACATCGAATGGCATATTATTTTCATATTTATTTTTGGTGCGATTTATTATATTTGATACCATTAATGGAAAACATATATGGGCCAAACCAATGAATTGCTGCAACTGGTTCTTTGTTGAAAAGATATGTGACCGGAGGTCTTCATCTCAATGAGTTGGTTCAATTGGACGTTTATTTTTGTCACCAGTATTTTGTATTAATACGTTATTTCAAAAATATATTTCTAGGCATTTTCAATTTGAAATAAATATAACATATGGCATGTGAAATCCAATCCCTTATGTGAAAGTGATTCTTGTTTATTTTAGACATAAAGCCTGATATGAGAGACATTTTTGTTTTGTTTTTTGTTTTTGCTGTCTAATCATTTAATTGGATAATCTGACTTTGTGGTCTATAGAAAGAAAAATAAATAATTTACACCATTTAAAACATGATTTTATTTTATAAATCGAAAAAATTAACAGTTCAAATAACTCTCAAGACAATGTGAAATAAAATAAGAACGTCATACGTTCTATGTACATGGTTTACTCACTCGAAGTCACCCGGTATCTTTATTTGGTATATTTGCGTGTAATTTGAAATCAATTTCAAAACTATTATAAAAAAACAAAGCCAATTAACTTTTGATTTAATACGGGACTTTGTTAAGGCATTTAACTACTTTAACAAAAGCACAAAGCAGCACATTATTTTTATTTTAGTACTTTAAATTGACCGTTTTCAAAACATCAGAGTTTTCTTTTGAGAAAAAACAATCCAGGCGATATTCAAATAGCTGCGACCATTTAAACCATGTACTGAAACAAAGCATGGACATTCGATATTCAAAACGTATCTAGATGAAAACACTTCTGTACTAACAAACACTTCAGTACGGAGAGAGACAAACATATAAAAATGATCATGTAGCACTTAAGATAATATTTACATATTGCATATGTATCATCATTTAAATATATTACAACAACATCAAACATGACAAAAATAGATTTTGAAGAGAAGGGTTACTTTGATATGTATAAGAAGACATCTTTGTGAAATGACAGTTTGGGTTAACTACTAGTATGAGTTTCATGATTAGATGGTTATGTATGCATTGATGCACATTTTAACAAAACGAAAAAACAAAATATTGACAATAAAATACATTAACTGTTAAGAAAAGATTAAGAAAAGTCTTTCAGGACATTATTGATTTTTTGTTTATTTTCATAAGTTTTTCTGTTTTTTCCCCAACTCGGACGGATTAAGAACATTTCTATTGCTAAGGACAACGAAGAAATTCACTGAACAATATCGAATGCTGCCTTGAAATCATTAATGATCGGGATTTATATGATGAATATCATCAATAGGATTAGTTCGGTACAAAAAGAAAAGTTACCTGGTAATTAGTTTATACAAAGAAAGAATAATTATTTGTTGATATCTGTTGATAACTTTTAATTATTTGAACGTTTTTTTTTACAAATAACCAAAATTGTAGAAAAACAGTTCATAGTTTTCTAACAAAGAACCGTAGTTTGCTTGCAATTAAATGTAGAAAGCAATTAATTGTTAGTAGTTACATGTAGAGAACCATGGCTTGCTTGATTTGATCAAAGAATCATTTGTAGATTTTCTTTGATTTTTGAAAATTGTTACATTTAGAACTATATAAAACATTGTTACCACTATTGACAATAGATTGAGTTAATTTGAAATGATTTTCAAAAGGTTTTTGATTAATGTTTTATGTATTTATTGAGCAATATTCAATTTGGAGCAGCATAAATACCACTTTATAATGAAACATTATATTTGAGTCTTTAATTGCACAGCATCACGAACGCAATACTGTCGTATCAAATCACTGCTTCTGTTTTACCATTTTTATATCACTTAAAGTGTCATATGAAGCAGTCGTGTCTGTTCGTTTGTAAGAACGTCCTCTTCGCCACCGAATCCCAACAACATAACATTTGGCACATAAGTTTGTCTATAGTCTGTGATAACACATCAAACGGTGACAATTTCAACAGAGGCGTGGACAACCGGCCACCTCTCTTGTTACCTCAGATCAGTGTCGAGTATGAATGTCTTTTGTCTTATAGGGGCCGCTCGCCCGGTGGCATGCCATTCAGCATATGTGAAGACCCTTGAGAACTTATGCTTTCCACAATGAGAGAGAGACAGTCAAGACTTGAAACTCCATTAGATGACTGTTGTTCATAACCTGAAAAGTACCATTATCATATAAGAACATCTTGTACAAGAAAAAAATCTGTATTTCACTATATCATTGATGTCGTATGGAACTAAAAGTACACTGACCTATTGCAGATAAACATCTGTCATAAAAATCAAATTTCAAACTTGTATTTAAAAACTGCAATAATATTAATTTTAAGTCGACAATGTTTAAGATTCATATGTAGCATTTTATACATTTCTTAATCATATGATCTGAAATAAAATCTGTTAGCCTTCATCCTGAGGACGACAGGCAAAGATCAAAGAGAGCCACACCGTCCATGGTAACTAGATAAGATATAAGTACGGACACACTGGAATAGGCACCTTTCATTTGTAAGTATCTGTTTCCGAATCTTCTTATATACACTCAGTATTACAAATATATGCCTCACACTTCAAGAGAATTAATGATATGTTTACAACACACCCCTCTGGTAATATCATGTTTGATGTGGAAAATGTCTTAATATTTCGCTCAATGGTCTCTAATAGCCTTGTCAAGTATGGAGGTGAATATTCATAAAACTACAAGCTTCATTAAATACGTATATCCATTAATTAGGAACATTGGATATGAAGGAACCGGGTAAGAACTAGTTTTATTTCGTATGTTTATAAATGATATTCACTACAGATCTGCATATCTTTATTACTGATGGATTTAGGTCGTGGCAGATAAAAAGATCTACCACATCAACAAATAAAGACTTATGACTGTGTACTTTTTATCGTTTAGTAGAATTTAGATAGATACTTAAGTAAACCTATTTGAAAATTTGCATCGATATTTTCCTTAATATTTTGACATGTGGAAATATTTAAAATACGTGTAAAACATTAGATAAAGCATTTCTAACAAAAACTGCCTCAAATATAGAGATTACAAGTTGTTGCAAAATGAATGGATACCATTGAACGATGACCGAGTATTTAGCACTTAGAACCCGCTGAAAAAAAATCCTCATCACTTTAGCAGTCTTAGATACATAAATTATATATATATATTCGAAATTCGTGATACGACCCTCTTCTCGTCTCACTCTATCGCTTTGTGCTACTTATAAAAATAGTCATTTATAGCTTTCTTCCAATAAACGGACTTACAAAAGAGGGTAATTGCCTTGGTAGAAGTAGGGTAGCATTATCGTTGATTTTAAGCCTTCCAATAACACTTGCACACAAGTCTCGATAGTGTTAACAAGATGAGCTATATACGGGTTAACTGCTTCAAACCTTACTGTGGGTGATATGTATGGAACTCCTTATGATCTTGGTATTCCCATGAAAAAACATAACAATTTAGTTATAGTCATAACAACTCCGATGACTTTCCCACATCATCAAGACTCGTTTTCTGGGGCTCTCATAACGAAACCGTGTGAACTTTAATTTCCAAAACAACTATGGGACAAAGAACGAAATTGTACTCCAAATATTGTTTTAATTGAGAGAGCAAAGCGTGAGTGATAATATTTATATTTGTATTGTCTCATATATCTAAATAAACCGCAGTTTCTGCTTAAATAAGAACGTGAAAGCTAACAAAACTTAGAATGTTAAACTTACTTACCATTTGTGTGGGAATAACCATTGTGCTGTTCGCCAAGGTGATGCAGCTTTTCAGCGTAAAATTGTGGACTATTCACTGTCTGAAAGGCACAAACGAAATAAATATTTATCTTTCATTGTCTCAAGCGATATTTTCTTGTTGGCGTTGTACAATTAATTTTTTGTATTAAATCTTATGTTTATCAAGGTGAAATAGATTGATGGTATGGCTTCGTCGATAGAAAGATACTGGAGATATCATATTAGGTAATATTAAAATGGGAAAGTGTTAAAATATTGAAACCAAAATCCAAACATTATTATTTGTTCAGGTTAAAAAGTGCAAATCTAATTAGTAATCTATTTTTATCTTCATGTTTGTGAACACCCTGCCGAACAATGTAAAATATTTAAACATTTCAAGAACACACAGCAATCATCTCTTGGAAATATGGCATTGCTTCCATGTCTGAGAATGATGGAAACTACACGTGTCGACTTGACTTACGTTTGATGGCTATCTGATCAGTGCTATTTTATTCACATAGTGCAAGGCTGGGGAAATAATACCGATGTTCCTGTGGAGTCGTAAACCATTCAAAACAATACTAGGATGGGCGGGGTCACGGAATATATGAATTAGAGTTGGATGCACTGAAAATGTGATTCAATGATTTGAATATCAGACTCTATAACACTCCTTCAATACAGCATATTTTCTCAAAACATATTTTCCTTCGTCACAGCTTGTTTTTGAGATCTTAACTTATTTTCTCTTAATCTCGATGGTTTTGCACTTTATAATATGCATAGTTGATTAAACTGATATTAAAAATGCTGCACCTTTTTTTCATGTTAACAGGAATGCCGAAGTAAGGTATAGCATATCTATGTATTCAATGTCACTACCCCTCAAGGACGATTCCGTCTTAGGTACAGAAAAAAACGAAAGTATTTACAAAAAGTGGAGGCTTACAACATGAAATTCTTTTATCACTGTTTGTCATCATAGTCATTTGTTTTTATTGTTTACATAAATAATCTGTTAGAATATATCTTATTTACTTAAAAATTAAAAGGAGCTTTTGTTTGAAACCGATACGTATTTAATCAAGATCTTGCACATGTTTCAGCAAAGAGTTCTATTAGTGTCCAAGTAATGAAAACAAAGCACGATGATTATTTCAAAATTACTTTATCACAAACTTATGACAGGAAAATATTACATTAAACTAAAATGCATATAAAAATGCACAAGTACAGCATAATTTTGAGGATCAAATTACATAAGTTGAAAAGTATGGTTACAGAAAGCGGTAGATCGTGTTCGCAAAACCATTCTCCGAATAATGGCAGTTGTAAGCATTGCAATGATTATTTGTTTTCTAGAACTGCTTCTCAAGTTTAAACATTAAAATAGTTTCGATTTACTTTTCATTACAAACATATTTTGACTTTTGAGATGTTTTAAGATTTGTTTGCGTCGTGTATCGGCATGTGTTAGTTTCTCTGGAATCAGTTTGGGGTACGAAAGGGTGATATTTATTTCAAGTAATGAGAATAAATCTCTAGGGTACACACGCTTATATCCGGCATGGGGCAATCAAACGCTTATAGCTTTCAGATGTCAGAAACCTGCATATCAGTTGTAAGAACCGACTATATTCAATAAGCACTTCTAATGCCAAAGAACCCAGAGCGATTTAACATATGTCGGAAAAAACATGCTATATTTTTATACCATTTCGTTTTACTGTTTCGTGTTTACTGTATCCTCATACTTGCATTAGCATAGAAGTCCGTATTTCATTTATTTGATATTATTTCTTTCCAATTATCCTTGCTAAGTTGCTAATGATGTCTGTCAAGTTTGTTTATTGGAAATTCTCATCGTTAAAACACTGTTATGGGCAGTGAGTGTAACGTCCAACATTACACTAACTCCCTTTACATATGTAAAACTTACGTAGGTCGTAATTGATGTACGTATGTGCGAGTTCATTCTTGTATGTTTCTGCAGCTGGAGATAATTTTCATATCACTTTCATTCTTTTTACTTGTTATTGCAGTTTCATATTTTAACGAGTTTTTGTCGTTTTATTTTTATTTTTAATTTTTATTTTCAGTTTTGTTTAGATTTCACCTTTGTAAATTTGATATTTTGTGATGCAGTGGTATTTTAGCCCATATGCGACAAAACGTTTAAGTGTCAGTGATGCCCAGTCGTGTATAAACTGCTATTGGGGAAGATAAATTCGTGTTTATGTTGAGATGTATAATAAGTTTGTTTGCAAGGAACTATCTTGCATTATCATGTTAAAACTAAGTTACTAGTGTTGTGAAAATACAAGCATATAGCAGAAAAATGCAGAAACAGATTTTTGATGCAGCAGAAAACTCTGGTATGTACTTTTGAGTGTAAGTCTAGTGTTACTCAGAAATTGGAATCTTCGATTTTCCTTTCTTCCCTTTCCCCCGTGTTCTCCCTCCTGTAGGGGCGAGACCGCCTGTCATCACCTGGGTAAGCTGAGAGTCTCAATGAGGTACTAACGGCAATGGGACTCTGGCCGACCAGTAATTGTCAGTGAGGTGCTAAGTGGTGTGTATTAGGGTGATAATATAGTGTTGGTTTGGCCGTCTGTCAGTCCTAGTTACACATCACATATAACTAATCCTTAACGGTCAAACCCAACTATTTACAATCTAACCGCCGAATCGCTTACCCTTTATACTGGTTTTGGAAATGTATTGCTACCAGTACCAAATGACTAGTGATCGACACCATCAACTTTAGTGATACCAATGGTATACTTCAAATTATTAAGCAAAAATGTCCTGACGATATGTTAATAACAATTAAGAGTCCGTGCTTATTTTCTCTTTGATGATAAAAAAAGAACACACACACACACACACACACACACACACAAAAGAAAAAAAACAATATAACAAAACAAACAAACAAACTAAAAATTACACCCAATAATTGCACATCTTCAATCTAATGCTTAACGCAGCAAATTGTTATTTGTATTCCTAAGTTGAAATTTAAACTTTGATATGAAAATGTTCATTTATGTTTCTGATTTAAAACGTCGACACTAGAGAATGAAGTTGGGTATGCTTTGTGGTCCTCTAGTTGATTGGGAGTACTCACTAAATTCTGCGTCTCTACACTCTCATAGTGCTACCCCCTATACATCAGATACGGAGCCAAACACTGACTCCGATGGGTCCTTATCAGGTCTAAATCACCCCCAATCTCCATCCCATCTGATTAAATTGATATAAACAAAATTGATTCGGGACATATCATGACATACAAAGCAGAATTATACATGGTAGTGCCAGCTTTTGTCAACACACACACATTTCATAATTACATTTCTGGGCATGCGTTTACATTTTGAACATTATTTGAATCTTAAATTATCATTCTGTAATTAATTTATGGTCAGAGAGGTTTCAGATGGGAGCACACCCACTGGTATCCGTCCAAATACATCACAGTGTGCCAAAAGGTAGAAACATTGATATTTCATTTTCATTCGTGTTTCTAACCAATTTGCTTGTAAACATGATAATTTTGTAACCATGTATATCATTGATTACCAGCATGTTGTCACTTTCATTGTCATTATCACGAAAAATATTAATATTCAAAGTTTTTTCTTTAGAAAATCAAGAAAGTAAAATAAAAATGTTCAATATCAATTTGAGCGTGCTTGTGAATTATTTCTATTTTTTTAAATTAAGTTGATGTTTAAGTTGCTTACAATTACCAAAGTCTTAACGTTATGTTGCATATTATACACCATGTACTTGGAACGTCTGATCGTCCGAGTGTCAATATTTTTTTTCTTAGATTTAGGGCTTTAATTACACATCTGTATGAATCATTGTATGCATAAAAATATCACCTCTATGCCTGTCTAAGACTTAATATTAAGCACAAATGTATAAGGGACGAGGCAAACCTTTCACCATATGAAGCATTATTGATTAATAATGGGTGTTTTCTCATATATCGAAACAACCTCGATTTTTTCCATTTCAAAGATCAAACAAATATTTAATGAAAAAAGATAAAATGAAAGTCCAAAGAAACACCACAGACTTGAGGAAATATTTGAGGAATTACTTGCATTAAAAAGAATTTGATATTTTTGGCGCTTTCAATGAAAGTAATAATATTCTAACCACGCGGCATAAGTTAATGGAATTTCAGCTTTTCAGAATTTCTGTATAAAGTAAAGTTAACGTTTTTTCTAAAAATATTTTGATTGAAATGATGGTTTCCTGATATCTTGTTCATTTATTTTAACCTGCAACGCCGTTTCAACCAATTTGATGATCTTTTGTAATTACTTTTCAAATAGGTAGTTATCATAAAAAAACTATGAAAAAATCCTCGCTTAAATTATTGTTCAAATATTATTCAGACCAATCAGAAACTAAGAGAATTAGTTATGTCAACGTGTGTTAGAAATGGTCATTTGACATTTGCATAAAGGTTTATCCATTTCTTTACCTTTGGTAAACCGTTAAGAAAAATATATATATATGCAAGAAAGTAACGAAATGTGTACCGTAACCCTATGTTTAAAACTACATAAATACATAAATTTAGTGTAAAATGATTTTATTTGTAACACATTACCACTGGGTAAGTTAAGACAAAACTAATATTATTTAATTCTGTACTCCCTTCCAGCAGCAGGAGCATGTTGTGACACAAGCAAGACCTGGTATATGATATATATATACAGGAATCTTTACTTTGTGGTGTATCTAGAACACATTAAGTGTTAGACTGCAATCTGACAAACCCCATACATTCGTAGTGTCGACAGTTTTTGTACCATTTTTTCATTTTATACAGAAATAAATCAAAAGTAATTAAAAACAAATTTTTTTGCGAAACTCGAGAATGGAAAATCCATTAGAATGTGTATGGACGCCTCTATCCCCGAGGAACGTTTCTGGTCTCTGGTTTCCATCAACACCCAATGATACATAACGCCAGTCGAGTCTACACCAAAGCTTCTGACTGCGACAAATTTGTCACTTGTAAGGGTTGAGTATAGAAAAGCCACCAACATTATTTATATTGTGTTCTGATGCTTCCCCAGCGATAAAAACACGTAATACAGTATTATTTGGAAAAAGATACGGCCATCTCACCGACTTCGTTGTTAATAATGATCGTGTTCTTTCTAATATATAAAACAGGCCCAATTACCATAATTCCGGAAAGGTTATTTTCAAATCTTATAATATGCTTATTTTTTTCTCTTAAACATCTGAATTTTAACATACCGTGTAAATGACGGAGTAACTGGCATATCTTTTTCTTATTTTGACATTAAGTAGTTTGGTTAACAAATACCATCATTGCGTAATTACCTTCTTCTACCGGAAATGGATATTACCCACAAATCTATTCGGATCTGTAAATTATCATAAAAATCCAAACTGGAATTATGACATATCGGAGGATCTTGATATCAAGATATTAACGACTACATGTTTACCATTTATTTAACATAATTTACAATCCTCGGAATATTGCGTACAGATATAGCGTTCTGTTTATTAATCTGTTATCATATATCATACCGTGTATAATTTTATCTTTTTTAATTAAAGTGATTTTTAAAACATTTTAGAAATGACAAACAGTTATTTTTAAGATTTGGAGATAAGTTAAATAATTTCTTCTTGATAATAGCAAGAATCTGAGAGCTACAGAAATGAAGGGAACAAGCGTGTTTAAGTGTAATCTGACCCTATCCTAATGCTTTTTTAACCCGGCATACTTGACACTTTGCGATAGTACACCCCACAGGCATATTCCTCCATGATATGTAAGCTTAACACACAAACATAAATACGACTGTCATTCGTCAATCTCAGAATATTTATTGCTGTGTTAACATATGCAAAACTCCATTAAACTAATGTGCGATCCGTGTTAATTATCAACCAAACTATTTTTAGAGCTCGGAAATTCTTGACAATTTTGCAGCCTGTGACATAATTAAAATTTGAATGACTCTTTTTCGTTCTAGAATTTAATTTGCTAATCTTAGACACATATCATCTTGTCTTTATTAATATTTCATTGGGTTGTATAATTCAGTAATGTCTTTATGGCCAGTTATATTTTTTGAGAGAGATAATACTTTTGAACTTGAAGCGAATACAGATAAGTCGGGGCTAATTTTAGCACGATAAGCACATCCTCCACGAACGCAGAACGTTATGTAAATCGCTATATCATCTTGTTTATTTTTCTATAGACATATTTACAACAAGGATTATGAATAATTAGTCTAGTTATAGGAAATCATTTCCCTTAAAGAAACATGAATCAGAGTATTGGCAAGCATACGTGCACTCTAGAATCTATTGGATTCAAAATATTATAACACTGTTTGTTAGTGTAAAATATCTAGACAGTATTGAGATATTATATGCACTTGATCTGTTTTAGATATTTCAATAACTACACATTTAATGCTTATTAAAAATTAATGTAGGATAATACGGGCAGGGTTATAAGTAATTTTAAAGTTGACACGTATCAATATTTTGTTTGTAAGTTATATTTACAAAATGTGATGGTTAATTTGGTCGTGCGTAATGATGTACAGATGGCAGTGCGGTAGATAGCATATTACAATAACTCTTAAAATTAAAATATCAATGTCACTAAAACAGATACTTACCATATAGTCGGAACTGCCACTTGTGGACCCATTGTCATTACAATGGTCGTCCACTCTCGGCCCCACCGCCATTCTGTTCCCGTGTAGGAGATCCTCCAAACTCTCAATATATTCTATAGCGTTCCGTAAAATTTCCACTTTGGGCAGTCTTTGGTTTGGGTTTGGACATGTCCGTCTTTTCAGCGCTTCAAAGGCTTCGTTCACCTTTCGAAGTCGCCGACGTTCTCTCATGGTAGCGGCCTTTCGCCTATCTACAGTTACAGTTTTGCGTTTGCATGCTTTACATGCCCAAAGTAGACACCTCCTGTTTGGTCCATGGTACCCTGGTGCTAACACATGGGGTACGTGTTCGTCCCCCTCCTCGGGGGTGTGAGGGTTCATGTCATCGTCATCCTCCGACTTTGGGGAACCACACGTGGAACTATGCTTTTCACTTCCGTCCTCGGACGGTTCCTCTTTGATTGAGGTTCCGTCACTGTCCATATTGTCCATTCTGTCTTTCTTGTTGTCCTCTTTGATTGAGGACGTCATGAACTGCCGATCCTTGAGGGTTCGGCACCGGGTGCCCCCCGGGCGCTGGTCGGTGGGTGAAACTGTGGAAGGAGCGGTGGGTCCGTAGGTCCGGGGTGTGTTGGTTGGGCTGTGGTACTGATACAGGTCGGATGAGTATGGGCGCTCGTATCCAGGCGTTCTGTGATAAGGCTGGGCGGCGTGTCCGTAGTGATACGATTCCTGGCTGGAAGATCCCCCATGGGGATAGGAACTGAGGTCAGTCAAGTGCTGGCCCTCCGACACATCCACTGGACCAAGTGGGTTAGCCCCGTTGAATGTGTGAAGACTCGGTTCATACCGACAGCTTCGGTAATCTGCCATCATCATCATGATTCTAAAGTTGTGTATGTATTTTAGTATACAATGTGTTACCGCCTCGGATTCTCTAGACACTGATATTATTAAAACAGTCCCTCTTTCACTTACTCCTTATCGCGATTTGTCAACTCCCTGGTAGCTCTCAGTCAATACACGTGCGATAACCAGTCCACCTACTAGACAGGAAGGAATTTCTGGAGAAAATTAAACCAGATATCAAAACATCCCTTCGTCGCTACCTCACAAAAAACTTTGAAGTGTTGTGTATTTCTGTCTCAGTTTATATCATAAAAAGCTGAGCTAATCGTACATATGTCAACAGATAGTATTTTAAAGATTTGAAATCCGATAGGCAAATTAGAATGCACATGGCAATGTTTTCCAATTAATTAGCTCAAGCTTGTTCCCATTTCTGTCAGCACATGTCTAGTTGTAAAAGTCCTCAAACACACACGTAACATCGCTTTCTGTGGAGAACCTAACTCTCTAGGAGCTTTTAGGAAAATATCCCAAAACTTTACAACTTTTGCAATATTTATAATGGTGAGAAACCGTGTAAGCGATGTAGGTTGTCGTAAAACACCCTCCCCCATAATTAGGAGGCCCGTGGCCAATCAGAATCTAATACTGTTGCTGCTGCTGAGGCTATGATAGAACCCACCCCTTGAATTTGCATCCAACTGCTTTTCTCACATAAATGAATGATGAAGAGACTGGGGTCACGTTTGACGGGTCAACAGTAACTATAAAGTAAAAACATATGTGTGAGCGACTTACAGAGAGGAAAATCCGGCTTTTTCTTTTTGCCACTGATCTTCGTACTCTTTAGAGTTAAAAAAAATTCACTGTTACTCAAGTATCGTTCTTAATAATTACATTCGAAGAAACACAACTGATGTTTTTCTCCGTTTTCACTTGATATCTTTTTACTGGGAATTACATCACAGTAATTATCGAGGCCTCGAAACGTTCACCATTTAAGAGCGACACTTGTGCTTAATTGAGTATCTATGACCGGAAAATTAACTTAAACCACTTTTATCGATAGTCCGTTTCAAAAAGATTTCGGTAGGCATAAAAATGATGATAAAAATCTGCGTCGGTACTATTTTTTAACGTCAACATATTTTTGTATCTACATCTATATATAATATCTTCACATGGTCATGCAAAGCACGTGCAATGGGACGTGACCGTAAACAGGTTCGGACGAGTTTTATTAGACGTATCTGAATGATCATTTACACTCAATATGATTTGGGAGTGAAACCATTTAAGTGCGTGTTTAGAGTGACAGTATTACTTACAGAGGGTAAAATCATAATTCTATAATTGTTACCATGAGTTAAGTGTCTAACAGAAATCATATATTATTATAGAATTTATAAGTTCCCTTTGATCTTCATATATTGGAAACCGCGTACTTTGTTGAGTTTTTATTGCCCTTTTCCCTTAAAGTCCTTCCCGGAATAATGTACTTTAGTCTTTCTGTTATGCCTTAACCACTTTCTCTCACTCTTTTCTGTTTCCCTAAGTCTCCCTCCATCTCTCTATTTTTGACATCTGCCTACTCTCTCATTACGTACTCCATTCAGCTATCCCGAGACATCTTGTTACTTATCATTGCTAATCGTTTTCGTATGGCCCCCACATATTATACAATTACAAACACTCCAGAACTGGTCACCAACCCTTTTACCTATAACCGCCCTTCAAACGCCCTACTATCTTAAAACCGCCCCACAAACATGTTTTCTCTAGACCCTACCCTTCAAACACTCTGTCAACGTGTGCCTACTCATCAGATTTCTCACCAAAACTACTCTTCAAATACCCTAAACAAGGTCCCTTAACCCAACCCTCTTTTCAGACACTTTAACCAAATCCCCCCTTTTCTTTAATATCTTAACAATGATCCCTCGTCCCTTTTCTGGCACTCTGACCTAACCATGGTTTTCCAGTGCCCACCCTCTTCTCCTAAAAGCTTACCCGTGGTTTCCGGATCCAACCTCTCCTCATACAGTCAACATGTGGTTCTCATCCCAATTCCCTTCTCAAACACTATGTCGTCGGTTCTCTATTCCATCATTTTTGCCAAATAATGTATCCGTGGTTTCCCAACTCCACCGTCTCTCAAACAGCATACCCATAGATCCCCTGTCCATACGCTTTTCAACTAAAGTATCCGGGGTTTCCCAACCCCACCGTCTCTCAAAAATTATACCCGTGACTCCCCAGATCATTCTTTTCTCCATACTGTACACGAGGTTTCCCAAATCTACCCTCTTTTCCAAAGACCATACCCGAACATAGTGTAGGTCCCTTCTTCTCAAACACTTAACATATGGTCACCTACCCAATTCTCCCACACACCCTACTCGTGCTCCCCATCCAAGTTCTCTTCTCAAACACCTTACTTGCCCATTTCCTATACCATGCCCATTGTCTTTAACCCATCCCACTACTTCGACAAGTTATCCCAAATCCACACTCTTCATCTCTTTCCATCCAAACTCCCCCACGCGAACGATCCGAAAAAAGTTCTCGCTCGCCATGCAGATGATACCGATTCATATTTTTATATTTCCTGATAGCGATATGATATCTAAGAGAATGATAACGGTTGATTTATGGGGAATGTCTATTCCTTGAAACCATGTATAAAAACTGGAAATAATAAAAAAAATCATTGTTTTGCATGACTTTTAAATAAAGGAATAAAGAATTAGACTAGGGGTAGGCTCGAGTGCAAGTCAAAATAGGTCTAGTCAACTTTGTACGGTATCGAAAAAACATAATGACATACATTTCAAAATGTACAGATAAGATATTAAACTATTTGATATAAAATTTGCATATGATAGTCCTTATAGTCCTTATAAAAACTTAAGGGAGTATGGCACATTTGTATCGAAGGGTGACATGAGTTGTCCTTTATTGGCGTAAAGCTGAAGAAGTTGAACGAGGCATCTTCGATTATCGCCCCTGTCCCAGTTTGATGCCTCTCAGAAATATGATTTACGACATTTAGGATGGTATCATGTCAGCACCGGATGAGCTAGTAATAGATATAACTTAAACTTGTATGATTAATGTGTTAAAGAATTAACCGATCTTTTAAACTCGACAATGCCACACACCATTTAAATAGGTTTGACACGAGACAGAAATTTTTTAAAAGTTTATATATCTTCAGATATCATTGTTGATGTGTCAACATTCGTGTAAATGGGGGCAATGCGAGTAATATATATTTTCTGTAATGCGTGGTCCTGCAGTTAAAGTCGTGACAGAACATTATTTATTACAAAATTATCCTGTTATCATACTGCGAATACATTTTGATAGGACGAAAATGTCTCGGACTAATTTCATCAGTTACATATGAAATGGAAACTCACACAAGACCATCTATTTATGTGATATTAATCCATACATATATATATATTTTATTATTATTCTGTAGAAATTCTACTCCCGGAAGCTACATGCTTTAAGAAATAAAGGTTATATACAAAGTGTAACTTAAACTATTATGGTTTAATCGCTTTCCGGAAATTTAATTTGATTTGTCGTTAATGTAGAATCTCGACAAAAAAAGGTTACAAATTTAATTATCAACAGTCAAAAATTTAGAAAAAAAAATCACAACTTTTTAAGAGAATATTTGACGGATAATGTGTTTATTTTTTAAAGCGATAAAGTATCTTAGCACCGGTGTTGGTATCGCCCACTATGCCACACGTGTTTCGAAACACGTGCGTTTCTTGAACGGAACTACATATAATATTACTTACATGTTATAATCAAAATACACCTGACGACAGATATGGAGGAGATAGTGAAAATTAATGTAAAACTAAATGACTTCAGCGTATTTTTTTCCTATTTTTTCCCCGGCGTTATCTAAAATCTATGAAATTAGACGTTTCGAATCTCTCTCCTCCGTGTCTGATCGTCAATGTTGAAATTGACATTACGACGTCTGGAGGGATCACTCTGTCGTCTATTAGGGGTCTATCTGTGTCGTATTAGGGGTCACTCTGTGTTCTATTAGGGACCCCGTGGGCCCGATCAGAGGTTGTTTGTCTCCCTTCTGTCAGTGGTAATGGCTGTTGATTTCACGGCTACGATACATCTCTACTTCATTAGTGTCATTTAATACCATAACTAATCTCCCTATATATGCTGTCAGGTCAGCCAGCATCTGTAACATTATCTACTCGACAGTATATAATCCCACAACCGTTTGGCGCTATTTATGGAATAGAGAATTAATGTTAATGATTGATAACAGTTAAAGAGAGACGATAAGCAGGGCCACATAATTTTCTACAGTAAAATACGATACAAGATCTTACGTGAATTTCTGTTTTAAATAGAGGTTGGGGAGCGAGTCTGATATAAAAAATTTGCTTAGATCCTGGCGAATGTGTTATCTAATATCTGTATATTTATTGAAGTTTTCATAAATTCAGCGGAAAATTGAAGCAAAAAAACCTTCTTATTACAAAATATTTTTATTTCTTTTGCTTAAGACATAATACTAGTTCCTGTCTGGCGCCCTCATTGTGACGTCATATATAGTCTGTAAATGTTTGACGTCGTTTTATTTTTTATGTCTATCGTTTGATGTTTAACGTCATTTTTTACCTACAATGTATATCAGATTATAAAAAAAGTATATATAGATCAGATTGAAACAGACTCCCTTAAATCGATTTTCTTATTGCAAACTGAATAAACTTTGAACATATTTCTTCAATGATAAACTTACAAACTGAATTTGAATACTTGTCTTGTAGACACCTGTACTCGTGTTTCTATTTTCTATTTTGTTTCATCAGCAGAAAAATAGTATGTTCTCATCACCTTTTTTTTACTCTTTCTTTTGATGGATATTAAAAAAAACTACTGTTTCGAAAATTAAATTTACAGATTTGCGAAAGAAGAAGGAAACATATCAATTATCATTAAAAATACTAAAAATCAATAAAAAATATCTTTAAACG